GATGGGCTGGATTGGGTGTAGGTGTTTTGGATGATGTGACATTTTTTGTTCCTGTGGGTTATTTTTAGATACTGCCCCTGCCCTGCTCGGTGAGCTCGGACATGCTCAGGCACACCAAAAAAATGCAAAAAAAGTCATATTAAATTGTAAATAAAATAAGTACATGGTGCAGGTGGCTCTCATAGCCACCTGCTGCAAGATATAGAGAAAACGAGCAGAAACGGCATGCCACACACACGCTGTTTCTGCTCAGGTCAACCTGCCGTGCCGTGCTCACCCTGCATTGTGCTTGTCCCCACTGGTCCTGCACCTGGTGGCACGTATCTCTCATATCTTCATATCCACCCTACCACCGTCGGGGCCGTGTCCCTGTTGTGTTTGCCTGACCACCCTGCCGCTGCCTTGCTCCTCTGCTCGCCGTTCACCTGCCACTGTCATTGACCCGGCACTGGTGCCCTCGTGCTCGTGCATCCTTGTCTTGCTGGTTGATTCCTTGCTGGCCATCGTGGTGCTCGTAGCTGGGCCCGCCCCTCCTCCTCGCGGTGGACATACCCACAGTCCGTCGTTGTCATCGTGTATATGCCGATTGCTCGGCGTCGTTGTGGTGTGTGTTCTGCATGCTCTCTCATCCCCATCATTGTCGTCCTAACTCATGTTTGCCACCCTTGAGTTGCGGTCGTCGTGCTTCCTAGGTCGGTGTCATTGTCATGCTCGGTCGCTAGTTGTCGTGCTCAATGGCATCTAGTCGCCGTGTCGTCGTCACCATTGCTGTCACACACGGCCGTGCTGCTTTGCAGGCACCATCGTCGGTGGGTGGTCTACACGGCACTTCTCTCGTCCCCACCCTGGACCCTTCGCAACCCAAAATCTGTCATACAACATTACACAGCGTCACTGGGATGCTGTGGCTCCGTGTATGATGCAAGAGGGAGGGAGGTGGGTGAACAAGGGGCTCCCCGTTACCCATCTCTACCCTTGCATCACCTTTCACGGCCCAAAATCCATCATACAACATTACACAGTGCCACTTGGGCACTGTGGCTCCATGTATGATGCAACAGGAGGCAAGGAGGTGGGGGTAGAGGGCAAAAGGAGTGGATGGTGTGATTGAAATGGGGGGGGCAGGTGGGCGACGGGCGAAACGTAGGGCGGTCGTTTGGGGACATGGTCGTCTCTTGGTCAGGGTCTTGTCATGGTCATGGTTGCGTCAGGGGTCGTGCCGTGGACGTGGATAGAAGACGACGGCAGGGGTGAGTAGTCGCCACGGGGGAGTGTGCGGAATCACTTACCTCGGGGTGTTCTTCGCTCGCATTCATTGCGCCCCGTGGTCGTTCCGCAGGCGCTCGTCTACCTCCATACTCTTCCTGCTCATCCTCCCTTTGTCCCCATTGCGAGGTGCTTGTGCATGTGCGTGTCGAGCTTGTCGTGTGCGTGCTCACCATCCGCCATCGCCCATTGTGCTCGGTTTCGTTCTATTTGCAGCATCAAGAGAGCGAGAGGAGACGACAAGATGGCAAAGGCGAAAGGGGTGGGTTGCCATCCTGCTTGTCATCTCCACTTCAGTCTCTCTCGCTGTCTCTGTCTCACTTGTGCAAGGGCGGGGGTTTAGAAGGGTGGTAGATGCGTTGAGGGGTGTCGAATTGAGTAGAAGCCGACCCAAATCCCTTGTTGAAGGGGAGGGGTACATGGCGCGGATGAGCGAGTTGTGGGGCATCAAGATCATCGAGGATGGGCGAGGGTGAGGGTTTTGAGGGCGAGGGGTCATGTGAGGGAGTAGAGGAGGGGAAGGGCGTCAGCGGAAACGCAAAGAGGCTGGCCCACATCCCTTGTTGAAGGGGAGGGGCACACGGCAGGGCGGCAGGCTTCGTGCATGCGAGGGCGGATGTCCTAAGGGATGGAATATGTAAATAAGTAGTTTGAATGATAGAAAACTGTGACACTTACCTTTTACATGATGGCCGTGAGCTTCCTAGTGCGTTTCGAGATGTCAGGGCGTCGCAGGTGGTGGTCGAGAGCAGCAATCAATGTTGATTGCTGGTTCGGCAAACTCCAGCGCGCGATCCCATTGGCTGGATCCACTGGCCCACGAACACCCGATGTCGACAAGAACATCACTGACGTTCTCAAAGGTCATCAATGACTTGTATCTATGAAATAGTTGTAGAATATCATTATACAAGTAGATTATGACCTATTTCTATAACTATAATGCATTAAATTCATTTAGATATACCTGAGATAAGTAAATGTAGTGTGGGCACCAAAGGTTTCTAGGAAAATCTTACCGTTGAAACGGGCGTTTGGAGATCGCCACGTTCAAAATTCAGATTCACTTCGGGGGATACCTGAATATTGTAGAGGAGATATACTATGTTTACATCCTCGAGTAAGTAGGCCCATTTCATTCATTTTTACCAATGTATAGGCAGGTAAGTATTTGCATGATACCCGAAATCACCACGCAAGCGGCTTGTATGGGCAATTCTGAGCTCAAGGATAAAGGTATCTATTTAAGACTTTGCATACACTATGTCATCTGTTAACAAATACATATCCGATACTTACTTTGTAGTTTAAATGCCTATGTCTGACTGCAGAGGCATCCCATTTCCTGAGAGCAGAAGTCGGGGTTCGGAACGGAAACTTATCAGCCAATCGGACGCCAGACGGCGATGGCCGAAAAACGATCAACAACGGTTGAGCATTGTTGATCGTGTGTTCGACGGCCATCCCCTGCCCTCACCGGCTCTTCCGTTGGCCATCCAGCCCCGAAATCATGACAAAAAGGTATGTAAAGTAGTTGTTATTGTTCTCATTGACTAATTACAGTGTTTTGTAACGTCAGAGCCTGCCCGTGTCGCAGATGACGTGGCCCTCGGACCCCGGCTGTGAGCCCCTCCCCTTCTCTGGGTTCAATCCCCAGACATGGTTTACGCTGTTTTCGGCCCTATCTTCGGAGACGGCCGACTGAGCGAGCCAGGGGACCCAGACCGCACAGATAGTCCCGTGCAAAAGTCGCGCTCGCTTTAGCGAGGGTGCACGTGGTCGGCCGTCGTCATCGGGCGTGGTGATGGCGGTCCTCGTGGAGCGACCAAAAGTGGCAGGTGGCGCCACACGCTCCAGGCCCCTCCCCCCACGAATACCCACCAGTTCGGGGTCCCGGGAGCAACTCAGCACTCAGCTGATCCGGTAGATCGCGGTCCGCGGATGCGTTCCAGGCCCGGTCCATACTCCCCCTCTGTAACCTAAGCTTGGGTAACGGAACGCTATCAACGTCGGGTTAGGGCAGTGGTTAAGCCCTCTGACGAGCCCCTTCGCAAGGGCGAAACCCGCCTAAACCCGGCATTCTAGGGATGTAGGCTGGCCCTGCCCTCCTCCTCCAACTCTTCCTCGCCATCGCGCTATCACCCGCATCTCGGATTTTAGCCCCACCAGGGGCTGCTCGGACCCTTGGCTGCCCACACCAACCACCCCTCGCCCTCTCGTCCCTCGCCCTCTCGTCCCTCGCCCTCTCGTCCCTCGCCCTCTCGTCCCTCACCCTCTCGTCCTCTCGCCCCTCGCCCTGTCGCCCTGTCTCCCTGTCTCCCTGTCTCCCTGTCACCCCTCTCCCTCTCCCTCTCCGCATCCTTCACCCACCCCTCCCCCTCAACAGGGATGTGGGTCTCCCTTTTCACCTCAGCATCCACTCTTCCCCGCTTGCCCATGCCTCTCGTCCCTTCCTTCCCTCATCCTTGGAGCTACATGCCAGGATGGTGGCGGCGTGAGGAAGACGACGGCGGCCAACGAGGATAGGGGTGGGGATGACGTTGCAGAGATGACAACAGGGCGAGGACAGCACAACAAAGAGGAGGATGTGAGGATGAGGACAAGAACAAGGACAAGAACAAGGACAAGAACAAGAACAAGAACAAGGACAAGGACAAGGACAAGAACAAGAACAAGAATGGGGGACAAGGACGAGGGTGGAACGAGGGCAAGGATGAGGGTGAGGATGAGGGTGAGGACGAGGATGAGGATGAGGACGAGGGTGAGGGCGAGGGTGAGGGCGAGGGTGAGGACGAGGGCAGAACAAGGGCAAGGACGAGGGCAGAACAAGGGCGGGGAGGCTGAACGAGGCTAGTGCAAAGATGACGGCAGGGGTACGATGGGGCAAGGGCAAGGACGGGGCAAGGACGACGATGGGGCAATAGCAGCGGTGGGGTGACAACGACGACAGGGCGAGACGACGGGGCAAGAAGGATGAACACGGCACCTACCATGACCATGGCCCCAGCATGTCACAATGATGAGTACGGCACAATGACGAGTACGGTGCAAGGACGATCACGGCGCAAGGACAATGACAGCACAGAGGACCATGGCGCAAAGACAACAACAGCGTGAGTGCGAGCAAGCCCAGCATGAAGCCATGCACAACCCACCTTGAGGTGAGGGACACACGAGCAGCACGGCGGGAGGGCAAACGACGTGCGCACGAGCACGGTAGAGCAGGTCCACCTGAGCAGAAATGGCATGCTATGAACGTGTCGTTTCTGCTCGTTTTATCTCTATCTCAGAGCAGGTGGCTACTAGAGTCACCTGCTCTGCTGTACTTATTTCATTATAATTTAATAAGATTTTTAATCATTTTTTTTCGTGTTCTGTGAGGATGTCCGAGCTCGCCGGACATTGTAATAGACGACGGCGAGCATTATTTGCCCCCAGCTATTCTAGGAACCCTCGGATGCTTTACAGTAAAATCTAAAAATAACCGACGTCTGAAGAAAAGCCATGTCATCCAAACCACCCCCTCCCAATCCAGCCCATCCCGCCCCCCCGACGGTGGGGGAAATGGTGCACA